GTATCATCCGATTGAGATGAATATTTTCCCAAATTCGTCTTGTCTCTTTCGTATCATCATCTAGGTTTTCCTTGTCTTGGTGCCTTTTATCTGCATTGGACCACACTCGTTTTCCTCCTTTCTTTTCTTACAAGAATCATCATGTAAAAATTAAAATGCATAATTAAGATATTAAATATTATATATTTATATTTCTATTCATATTTTATGAAAACAAAATATATGTCTTATTCTAATAATTAATTTCGAACACACTAGAGACGGCCCGACAAGCTGGCAATCAAAAACAACGTTAAATATTTCCTCTCTTTTAAATAAAGCGACCGCTAAAAATAGCAATTATGAGGGGACACAAACAATAGCGACTTTAGTGGGGCCCACAAACTTTATTATTAATAAACGCGAGGAAACCTTAGAAATCTGCTAAAGATGGCATTAAAATAATCATATTTTGCTTGGACGTGAGCTGCCCACGTCTGCGAGAGTTTCTATTTATGACTTTTTTCGGATACTCTTTGACAAATGAAATCTTCGGGCGAGATTTGTTATTTATTTATTTCCTATTTATATTTACCGGTTTTGCTATTAAGCCAACAGTTGATTCTATAATGGAACCGACCTTCTATATACAACAAATAAATCTACTATATTAATAAAATTATATTAATATTTTTTAAATAATCAAAGAATATGGTAGGTTTACTTATTATATATAGAAGGTTAGTGATGGAGACGAGGCCGCGTTGTTATTCTTATAGAAATATGACCGTTTGCGTGTCTAGCATATTTATTTTATTGCTTTATTTTTCTTTGGGTTATTTATTTTAGTAATTGCAGTTGTGTTATTTTTATTAATAAGAGGGTGTTTCTTTAATTATTAGGATTTATCATGTTTTTAGTGGAGTTAGTGGAAACTCCTTATTTATGTACTGGGAACAGAAGGGAGAAAGTCAGTTTATCGTGAAAATAAAAATATCTGTTCTCTCTTGAATTGTGTTCTTTCCCTATCGTATACATCCTCTACATCAGTTGGTATCAGCAGACCAGCCGACGATCCACGATGCCGCCTAAGAAGGACAAAGCCGTGATCGACAACTCCGTTGATGAACGATTTCAGGGAATTGATGAGCGATTCAACAGTTTTGATGAACGATTTACGATCTTTCGACGGGCTTCGAGGAACTACGACTGACGATGCGCACCATGATG